CCGTCTCTCCAGCCTGATCCTTAGTGCCAAGAAGGTAGCACCATGTCTTATTCATCTTTACAGACCTCAAATCTCAGCATAATAACGTGCGTACAGTAAGAACTATAGTAACATGCAGTGTTTTATAGGAGTCTAAACCTATGTTACATGAGCAAAGAGGTAAAAGAACAGTTCTTGAGCACCTTCATTAGCCACAGGGGGTCAAGAATGGCCACATATCACGTTTATAGCCTAGAACCCGCCTTTTACTGATGGGGATACTAAGGCTTAGAATAGCCAACTGCACAAGGCACACAGCGGTGGAAGGATTCCAATCCCTCTGGGAGATGCTGGCGAGTGCAGGGGTCAGGTTCCTGCTTCAGGAAGTATGTGAACAAGGCGTGTGGCTACAGAAAGTTGTGTCGTGTGTGTTTGTGAGCTCTTCTGAAATGCTGCTGTGGGACAGGCTGTTTATAATTAGCCAGCCTCCCCGCTGCCCCCACTCCCCAATTCTCTGAAATAGAAGGTACTTTGGTTAAGGGTACAATTCATATCTATGAATGAGACTCTATTAGGAACAATCGTTGTCAGAGAGGCACAACTTTGTATACATGGTAATAAGATGTGTTCATGTTTATGAAGAAGGAAAAAGAGAAGTTTTATCCTAAAGTAAAAGGACCGGGCCCTAGCCAGGTTGCTCAGTTGGTTGGAGTGTGGTCCCGTGCACCAAACGCTTGTGGATTCGATCCCTGGGTGGTGCCTAAGAGAAGGCAACTGACCTAGTGTTTCTCTCTCTCTCTCTCTCTCTCTCTCTTTATTCCTTCCTCTCTCTTTCAAATCAATAAAACATATCTTTGGGTAAGGATTCAAAAACGAGTTGTTTAAAACAACTGATTGTTCCAGAATAAGGAAGAGAACAATGAAGGATAAAACCTGAGTAGATAAATTTGTAGGTTTGTGAACAAGGAATTTGATTTGCCTTAGATTGTTTATAGTATGTGCAAATAATGAGTCTAAAACGAAGCAATTAAGTGTGTTAGGAATTTTGGCAAAGCCGGCTCAGTTTTTATTTTATTAATATTATTTTTTAAAAGTAGGCTGTGGTTCTTTTAGTATCAAACATAATGTCAATGCAAAAGTAGAATTTGGTTTTCTGTCTGTTAAAATCATAAAACTTTCTTGAATATTGGTTATTGGTTTGCTCTTAATGAGAGGTTGTAAAATGTAATTTTTTGCTTCCTGTGGAATCTGCCTAGATAGCACAAATTCTGTCTTACCAGAATAAACCTTCCATACTTTTTAAAACAAAGAACTCCCTCTTAGGAAAGAGCTGTTCCTTTATGGTGTTACCTTCTATGTTCATTCTTAAATGAAATATTACCACTTCCAAATACATGGGACAAGTACTGTTTCTCAGCATCCAAATCCCTTAACCATTCCTGATTTTGCCTTTCCCAAATCAAATCCTAGACACAGAATAAAATAAGGCAGTCATGATATCTTTTGTACCTAACACTATCTTTGAGATGCTCAAGAGAGCCCTTGGAAAATCACAAAGATTTGTTCTTTCATCTTTTAAAAAGAGAGGCTAGAAATAATCACATTTATTTAATATGTTATCGTTGACCAATTGCATGGAAATAATTGTGAAATCAGAAGAGATACTCGACCTTCTCTAGGTTAAATTTTTTTTTTTTTTTATCCTCACATAAGGACATTTATTCATTGCTTTAGAGAGAAAGGAAGGGGGAGAGAGAGAGAGAGAGAGAGAGAGAGAAACATCGATGTTGGAGAGAAACATGGATTGGTTGCCTTCTTGTACGTGCCCCAACCAGGTATTGAACCTACAACCTGGGTATGTGCCCTGACTGGGAATTGAACCTGTGACCTTTTGGTCTACTGGACAACACTCCAACCAACTGAGCCACCCTGACCAGGGCTCTAGGTTATATTTTAAAAGGTAAATGTTATTACTTATATAAAGAGTTCAGAAATTGTGTGTTGTGTGAGAGGCTTCTGCAGATCTCTCAGTGCCCTCTCTGGTTGATGATTTATTTCTACTTGCCGGCACCTGGTGAAGCTTTCCCTGACAATAAGAGTATAGCATTACCAGTCATGATTTCAGTTATGATTGAAAATGTTACCTGGGCTGCAACCTTACTTCCTAGAGTCTAACATCTTCTAAGTCAGCGGGTATGTGCATCTGAATGCAGATGCTTAGGACCTACTCCAGACTCACTGAATTCCTTCATTTGATATTCTTGGTATATCCTTGGTATATTATGTAAATTATGTCTTGGGATTTTTATATATTTCAAGAGTTTTTCCTCTATAAAGAGTATGTTCATCCATTTTTAATAAGTCAGATGTTATGTTCACCATCTTCTTTGAAATTAGCCTCATTATGTTTTTAGCTGCTGTCTAGATTTTGGGGGCGAGGGAGACTGGCTTTATTTTGTTTTGCATACTTCAGGAACAACCGCTTTTCCTTGCTAGCTGCATTACTCTCGTCACGAATTCTCATCAGATCATTTGCTTTTCAAAGTGAGTAGTAAGTTTGTCTGCACCTTTATAGGTCTCTGTCACGTACATATAGTTTTTGTTTTGTTCTGATGCTTCCTGAAGCCTCTGCAATCAGCTCTAGGTCAAAGGTCTTTTCTTTAAACACGAAGAAGTGTCTCAGAAAAGCACTGTACCAGGAACTTCCTCTTGGACACAGGTTTCTGGTGGCATCGCTTAGATATCTTCAAGGACACACCAATGGACTAAGTCAGGATTGTTAAAACTCTTTAGTCAAGAAGCAGACAGGTTATAAGGCTGCTAACCCAATTAAGCAGAACAAGAATTAACCACATAGAGCGGGACAGAATGACGTGGCTTGGCCGTTGTTTGTATTTGGGATACTGTTGGCGTTGTCCTAGCGTTCTCTTTTCTGGATATCTAAAGAAGCCCTTTCTCTTTCTTCTTAAGCTATACGTAACCCATGACAATTTAATGGGCTGTTTTCGTAAACTAAAATGAAGCATTTGTAAATATCCTCCCTACTCAATTCTCCAGAATTCATAAGCATTTGTGGAGTCTTGTTACTTTTCATAGCAATACTGTTATTTCCAAAAGGTCAATGAGACTCTGTCCCCTAGTTTTAAACCACAGATAATTAGAAAAAGCGGTTATGCAACCAAGGCCTTCCCTAGAATGTCACGGCTGACGAGGATGCTCATTTAATCAGGTATAACCAGCCCCTTCTAAGGACCTAAAGCCGACTGTATGGAGCCAATACTAATGAAACCCCCCAAGAACACTGGCTTGCTGTTTTCCCTGATAGGCAAATTAGGAAGGTCATTTCCTGGCTAGCCCAGGAACTTAGGATATTTGGGGGACCTCGAGAAGGGAGGAATTCTCCCAAATTTACAGGCATAGCAGGTAAAACCTGGTTTATAAATGGGCATGGTCTTTGGAGTCTCTCTTTTTAAGATTATGGTAAAATACAAGGGTCCAGCAGAAGTAAGGCCTGCTTGAGTGTGGTTGGTAGGGTAATAATATGGGTGTAATAATCCATAGTTTTAATTTGAACATTTCATCTAAAGTGTCATACGGTGTGCTTGAGTGTGATATTGTTATGTGACAGAATTCCATGCTTATGATTTTGTAATAAAAGATTTTATGATAAAAGGGGCATCATTTGCGCCAGGCCCTGTCTCTGTAACATGAAGTCTGCCGTTCTAACCATTCCTAAGTGAGTAGTTCAGTGGCGTTGACCCGCTTCATGTTGCTGTGCCACCGTCGCCGCCGCCCGTCTCCGGGGTCTTCTCACCTCCCCAAGCTGACACTCTGTCCCCACTAAACAACAGCTGCCCATCACTCCCTCCCTGCATTTTCTTTCTCCAAGATTATAACATCTCCTGATTCCCTCATTGGGAGTAAAATACAATCTTTAACACAGGTTCATTTTTATATCCTTATGAGAATCAGGTTTTATCTTTTGCTGACAAACATATTGTAACAGTCCCAAACTCAAAAAGTACCACATGACTCATGTACACAAGGGAAGAAGGCGGGGAGGGACGAGGCCCGTCACCGATAGGAAGGCGCCACCAGTGACCGGCGAGCCCAGGACTGGGGGTGAAGGATGTGGGCTTTGCCCTTTCAAAACTAGGCCCAGCGGGTCATGTGAGGGACACCTGCCCTATCCGAAGGGGTCTCCTTAAGTCCTGTTCATGTAGTTTGGGAATTTAGGCCTCATATTGTTCCACCTGTTTTTCAAGAGCAGCCCGGAACCCGGCTATTTATGTTAAATTTTATCATTTGTAAATGATGGCAACTAACACAATATTTAAAAAAAGAAAGCAAAAACAACACACCGCTCTGCAGACCCAGCAAACCACCCCAGTGGGTGGCCTCTGAAGAGCCCCTGCGGCTCTGCAGGCCCACACCCGCTCACCCGCACACGTGGGGTCTCCTCCCGCCTCCCCGGGTCAGGGGAAAGCTACTGCGCAAGTGGCCTTTCCGCTGCTGGGGGTGCCCATGGTGGGGGCGACCACCCAGTTGAGGAGCAGCTGCCCGCTCTGATCTGAGAAACAAGCCCTGCCGGGCAAGTCTCCCAGGGCCTGGAGCCCCTCAAGGCAAGCGCCCAGGGCTGACGAGTTCTGGCCTTTGTGTTACCCAAGGGCAGAGACACCAAAAGCGACACTCCACGACCCCAAAGGCCAGTTTTCAGCAACTCCACCACCCCGGCCTCGGCTCCCTAGCCCGTAGGTCCAGGTTCGCCCAGATGCTCAATAATATGAAACTGAGGGGTTCTGAAGGTCCTCCCCGAGGTGGTGTGTGTGGTGTGTCTGTTGTGTCTGGTGTGTGTGGCGCGCCAGCCGTTCAGTTTCACCTTCCTGCCGCTGCCGCCGCTGAAGGCGCCCCGGCTGAAGCGCTGCGAGGCCGCCCGCCGCCCGGTCCCTGGTCCCCACGCGCCCTGCCCGCGGAAGGGAAGCTGCACGGAGCGGCGCGCTTCCCTCCCCAGCGCTGCTCACCAGCTGTCCCTGGAGAAGGTGCGGAGCAGCCAGATGCCCGGAGCCAAGGAGGACCGCATCTTGCCTGCTGGTGCCCTAGAGAGGCAGCGAGGCGGACGCAGCGGGGCGCAGGGCGGTGCATCCCAGGAGGCAGTGGCTGGGTTTAAATGCCCCGCCGGCGGCCCGCCCCGGCCTGGCGGCCGCAGCCCCGCAGCCCCCGCCCCCTGGCGCCTGACCGTCCTCGAGCTCGGGCCAGGCGCGAGCCGACTGCCCGTCCTCCGGCGGCGGCTCAGCCAGCCCCGGGTTTTCTCCTGCTTCGCCTTGGGCTGGGGACACGCAGCGCGCAGAACTTCTGGGGCCGCTCCCGCCCGAGCTCCCCGCTCAGCTCCCCGAAAGGAACTGAAAGCCACAGCCCACACTTCTCAGCTCTATGTGACAATCCGTCTGTTGTAGCTGTTCTTGCAGCGCCTCCCTGTCCCGAGAAGCAGCGGCCCAACAGAAACGGGAAACTGAGGCACGCGGATGGGCTACAGCTGACTGACACTTAGTGGTCCCTACATGACACTGCTGAGAGCGGGAGGCCCTCGGCGAGCAGGGGGAATCTCAGGGAGTCACAATATTGGCCCCAAATATGCCTCCGGGCCGGACAGAAGCTGCCCGTCCCTCAGACTCCAGATTGTGTGTTGAGAGACAGGACCCACCATGCCCCTCACCGAGACTGGCCTCCGCATCTACTCCCAGTGACAGTGCGGTGACAGCAGCATCGCTGCAGCCAGTGCCTCCCTCCAGAGGCAGCAGCCACGGGGTGGCCAGCAAACGGCCAGTCTGGGGCACAGAATTCTCTGCTCTCGACATTGCTCTCCCAGCCCCTAGCCTGAAGTCTCCAGCGTTATTTCCACTTACAAAAAGAAGATACTGTGAGATCTTTGAATAGGAACCCCAGGGTGAACTGCAGAGGGATGGAGAGGGAAGCATTCGCCCTGAGACTAACGTTGTTAATAGAACATAAAATAGGACTGTGCTTGTGCAAATGGCTTTCAGTCCTGACCCCACCCTGCCCCTAATTCCTGGGAGTTCCCAGGCCCTAAGTGCAAGGTCGGGATGTGGGGCAACAACTCCACCAAACAGGTTAGGACCTGTGCTAACGAGCTCGGGTGAGCGAGCTGCAAAGGCCTCTGTGACTGCCAGGCAGTCAGGCGGGTGTCAGGGCAGACACAAAGGCAGCAGCAGGCAGAGGCGAGAAGGGAAAGGGGTAGAAGGGAAAGGAGAAAGGGGGTAAGGAGCCGGTACCAGATGACGTGGAGTCCAGAGAAGCGCACCACCGAAGCGGGGGCGCAGCTAAGAGCAGCTGACTTCCACACCGCACACTGCTCCCAGGTGGACATTCATTTGTTCTTATTCATCTGCGGCTGCACATCTTGGTTTGCCTGGGACAATTCCAGGAGACACTCGCTGGCCAGACCAGCTCTGGAGCCAGCACCAGCCAACAGACATTAGGTGGGTAGGGAAAGCGAGCCAGCACGATTAGCTAACATCCCCAGGAAGACGGCTGCTCGTCTCTCGGGGGCTAAAGGAAGGAGAAAGCTGGAATACAATGGAGCCAAGGAAGGGGATGCGGCAACGTGATAGGACACAGGACGAGCACATGGACATCACTCGAGGATGGGGAGGGGCCGCCTCCAGGGCCCCAGGCTTGCTCCCCAGACTCCAATAATATGGAAAACCCATCTTTCCATTGCAGAGATGCCAAGGAAGAAGGCTCGTGGCTGCGCACTTTCACTGCCCTCTGGGGATGCTGTTTGTGCCTCGAGGGGGAACATGCTTGTCCGGGGCTGCAGCCCCCAGAGAGACAGAAAGAATTTGCCGTCACAGTGGCCTGGCTATTGTTCACGGAGTGCCAAAAAGCAGCTGGTGTGGGGCCAGGCCTGAGACAGTCATAGCCTTATCCCAGTTACTTCCCGTGAACTCCAGCCACGCATCCCTGGTCCAGGGACCAGCGGGGCAGCTGGGACACCGCTACCAACGTTCCTCGCCTGCTCTTGTGGATGAGCTGGGTGATGATTTCGCTTCGGGACAGCGTTGAGGAGCTGTTATGGCCCAGCCGCCCTGTCACGCACCTGCGCGAGCACGCCCCTCCTGACTCACCTCCCTGCTGCTGGGATCCCGTTCACGCCACCCCCTCACACCCTGCAGGTGTGGACAGCTGTGTCTGAAGGAAATGAGGGAAGGGATGAGCCACTGAATCAGAAACTAAAGGAAAAGGTCCTCAGTTCTTACCGTGAATAGACCTATACTTTTCCAAAAATGCTTACTTACTATGGTTTCTTAGGGTCAGACAGCTGTAAGACGGGAGCTGGCTGGTCGTGGCCTTTTGCCCACTAACTACCAGTTCCTACGAGCAAGTTTTATTGATGACCGTCCACAGGAGTTTGGGGTGGCCAGTCATCTGTTTAGACTTTTCAGACATGACAACAAGTGTCCTCCCTGGTTTTTCAAAGGGACACAGGGGCCTGACTGCTGGAGAAAGTCTATGAGAACAAGTGCCAAGAGGATGAGTCATTAGGCAACAGAAGCCCAAAATGTCACCACACACACATGCGTCATTCTTTGAACACGCCCACTTCCTCCCCGTCTCTCTTCCTAAACAGAGGACAGCACACTTTTTTTTTTGTGATAGAATCAAGACCCAGACTCTTGATTAACGGGGTAGGAGTTGGGATAGTTGGAGAAAGAGAGATTATTCAACCTTTTCAAGGTACAGGGTTGCATTAGGCTTTTTGATGGAGAGACCAAGCGCTGTAGCGAAAAGAACGCGGGCTTTGAGCGGGGCCAGTCCTGGCGCAGACGCGCCTGCTTCTCCGAGCCTCTGTTCCCCCATCTGCGAGAGGTGGATAGTAACACCTACCTTGCAGCGTGGCTGTGAGAATCACACGGGGTGCAGAAAAAGTGCCGGGCCACATTAAGTAGGTTTGGCAAGTGGAGCAATTGCTTTCTGTGCATGAGCCGAGGCCCAGTACTAGGGTCAGATACTGAGGGCAGCTGACAGGAACTAATAGCCATGTATAAGGGACAACAAGCTACACGGGTCAAAGGTTAGAGTTCTTAGTGTCAGTGGGTGAAACAGAATAGGTCTAACCTACCAAATCTTTAATATCCTATGTGTGCATATGTGTATGTGTGTGAATGTGCATAGATGTGGGAATCTGTGTGTATGTGGGTATATACCACTTCACTCCCTGAGTTATTATTAGCATCAAGATAATACACGTTGAATAATGTCGAGCTGACAGGGATGAAAGTATGGGTTGAGTAAAGTGTCATAAAAATGAACAAAGTTACTCTATCTTAAATATGTCAGATGTTGAAATGTTGCTAAGAAGGGTTGCTATTAAATTTCTTTCGGCGAACACAGCCAAAAGATAGATAAGCAAGGTGACCTTGTATCCAAAAGGATTTTGTTTATCAATAAGAGTCAGTATTCTAGAAGGGCCTGGCAAAGAGGGTCCTTGCCTTGCTGTAACTGGTGACAAGCAGGGGCTGCCGTCTAGCCAAGGCTGGCCCGATGGCTCACCTGGCCCGAAGAATGGGCTCGGGGGACCACTGTCGGCCAGGCAGGAGGGCAGCTCTGCTCTTGACTGACCCACCAGCGGCGGCGGCAGGTACACATGCGGGCACCCGGGAGGCAGGCAGCCCTCAGAGAACGAAAGGCAGATTTGGCAAGTGGTTAAATTATTAGTCTCCCAAAGTCACTTTGTTCAGGGGGAAAATTAAAAGGAATACATGGTAATATCAAAAGGGAGGCAGCCTCAGGCGGCCTAGCCATACAAGATAAAGACAAACTTTGGTTTCTTCCGTGCCTGAAAGTAACAATTCGTTTACTCATTTAATAGGCACTTGTTAAGTGCCAGCTCTGGGCCAGGCACAGTGCTGGGTGCTGAGGGCGCACTGATAAGGAGGCAGAGCCCAAATCGCAAGGGATTTACAGGTGAACGGGGCAGAGCTGCACAGACACAATTCTGCCTCGAAGAGCTCTGGCAGGACAAGGAGTAACTTACAGAGGCATGTGCACACTGCCGCGGTCACTGGTGTATGGGACAATGCTCCAACCAAGTGAGTCACCCAGCCAAGGCGACAAGATTTTTAAGGAGGGTTGAGACATGATCAGATTTGCATTCTTAGAGGCAAAGTGGACATTTAAAAGCCCTTTGTCGGGCCTCTGGTTCCAGGCCATGGTGGAATAGATGCACTTCTCCTTAACCTACTTGCTAAGTGCTGAAAACCCCAGGCGTTATATACACAACAAGAAAACTCTGGAGAAGTAGAGAGAGGAAGGCAGATTAGTGAGGAACCTCAAGATCTGAGGAGAGCCACAGTAGTGATGTGTCTGGGTTTACTTTTGCTTCATCTGTCCTTGACTGGGTGCTGGAGGAGCTTGCAACCCAAAAGTGCCGATGGCACAGACAAGAAGAAAGAAGGGGAAGGGGAAGGGGAAGGAGGAGAAGGAGAAGAAGGAGGAAGAGGAAGAAGAGGATGAGGAGGGGAAAAGGAGGAAGAGGAAGGAAAAGAAGAGGAAGGGGAAGAGAAAGGAGGAGGAGGAGGGAGCACCCATAAAAACAGGCTTTAGCTAAAGGAACAAGCATCACCGGGAGGACAGAGGCCGCCGCGGTCCCCTGAGTCCTGAGTCCCGCCTTGGGCGGTGTCAAAGAACTCCAAGCAGGAAGCCAGGACTTACACCACCTTCCAGGGAAAATGAGCACCCCAGCCGGACCTCGCTGTGTCAGGGGGGGTCCAGGGGGAAGCAGTGAGGAGGCCCCGCCCTCTCCCACGCGGCGGAGCCAGGACTCTCTCTCCCCAGGCGGTAATGAGATGCTCTCCCCTACCCTGCCGGGGTAGCAACAAGGTCAGCTAGGAAACCCGGTTCGCTACAGCCCCCCTGGCAGAGAGGAATGAAAACTGGACCCAACTACATGCAGTCACTGTTCCAAAAAACTAAATATACACTTACCATGCAACCCATTAGTTGCACTTCTGGGCATTTATTCCGCAATAAATGAAAATCTCTGTCCATCATATGTAAGGGCCATTTGCAGCCTGTAATAGCAAAAAAACTGGAAACAACTAAAATGTCTCTCA